AAAATAAATAAGCTCCAATAATAACAAAAGAAAAATTACATTACTTAAACATTTTACGAAATAGAATAATAAAACTAATTAATAGCAATAATAATGATGAAAGCATAATACAAAAAATTAATATGATCGTAAGTAGATAGAAAACACAAAAATAAAAAAAAATAAAATAAATAAGCTCCAATAATAACAAAAGGAAAATTACATAAATTAAAACATTTTACGAAATAGAGTAATAAAACTAATTAATAGCAATAATAATGATAAAAGCAATACAAGGAATTAATAGTGGATAGAAAACACAAAAATCAAAATTCCTTCTCTAGACATCCTTCCCAAGCCCCATAAAACCAAATAGGCCTACACACTAACAAATAAATTAAGCATGTACTGGGGTAAAGTTTGTGCATGGTTGTTCTTCGAATGACATAACTAGGCGTACATATAATAGTTTGTAACCATTAACTTTGAATTTAAGAGATAATCCGTTCAACAAAATCATTCATTTTTGTTGAGAAGTTAGTTACATTTTTTAAATCACATTTGGCAGTATGAGACCCTCTATTAAATGTAGACAGCATCAGAAAGACAAACACATACCTTGATAGCTGTCTCTTATACACATCTAATAATTTTATTGATCTTAATATAACACAATAATTTATTTATTAAATAGTTAAACATTTCAAATAACTATTTAATTTTTTAACCAACTATGATTATAACTATAATTATTTATATAGTTTGGTTATATTTAATGTAATATTAAACAATATTCTCAAGCTAAAGACATTGTCTTACAGATGACGCATAAATTTAAAAGAATTGAACATGCGATTAATAAAATCAAAACCTTATCTGAGAGGCCCCAGAACAACAACGTCCATACGCATATTAAGCCTTTCCACATAGAATTAAGAGATTCCAAACGAGTATACACTTTATTGGATAAATTGATAATATTACTACACAAACATTGCAGTAAATAACATTAAAATTACGATTTAAGGACCAAATACTTATAAACTCAAAAAATTATTTCAAATTAAAGAGAGTGTTATAAGTGAACATAACGATACTCATTGTAATGGCATAGAAAAACAGTTTAATCAGTGACAATTATAAACTGATAGAAACAATAAAAACAGAAACAAAGCGAAGACTCGAAGAAGAACGGAAGATACGATAATCATACAACTATAAATTCAAACTTTGTTATTGTCAAGGAACTTTATAGAAAAAGGAAACACATTCATAAAACATTAAAAAAAAGTTATAGAAAAAAGAAACACATTCATAAAACATAAAAAAAAAAGTTCACATAAAGAAGAAAACTGCAGACACCAAGGAAGAGAAAGTTAATACCATTAATAATACTGTAAATATAAATTTACTACTAAAAAATTAATAGCCAACTCAAGAATATCCAAAATAAAGGACCAAATTTCATCCCTACACTCCTTAAAAAATATAGAAATTAAGAAGTATAGATCTTTTAAATTCTTTAAAATTACTACAAAAAGATATCCATAGCAATATAAATAAGCCTAACAATAACAAACCAACATTCCCAATACAGAAACGCCTTAAAGCTCATTTACAAAATAACATCCATAAAATAAAACAAACTCACAATTTCTGCTTTAATACCTTAGGATCTCTATAATTGGAATGTATAAAAAATTTTGCTTGTATAGCAACCCGAAATATTATCAAATCATACTATACACAACTAAAAATTATCATATACAAAAGCCATAATAATCAGAACAGCTGATAACAATTTAGGACTATGTATTAATTAAACTTGCAAATATGGATAATTTTTCATTCCTGATGATAACATAATTAATGTCGAAATACTGAATTTTGATAGTTTGGGCATGTATATTATTATACTATCGTATTACTTCTACTAATTGGTATTATAATGAGTACAAAAGACAATTAAATTGCAATAGTTATACAAAAATAAATAAGCTCCAATAATAACAAAAGAAAAATTACATTACTTAAACATTTTACGAAATAGAATAATAAAACTAATTAATAGCAATAATAATGATGAAAGCATAATACAAGAAATTAATATGATCGTAAGTGGATAGAAAACACAAAAATAAAAAATAAAAATAAGCTTCAATAATAACAAAAGGAAAATTACATAAATGAAAACATTTTACGAAATAGAGTAATAACACTAATTAATAGCAATAATAATGATAAAAGCAATACAAGGAATAATACGATCGTAAGTGGATAGAAAACACAAAAATCAAAATTCCTTCTCTAGACATCCTTCCCAAGCCCCATAAAAACAAATAGGCCTACACACTAACAAATAAATTAAGCGTGTACTGGGGTAAAGTTTGTGCATGGTTGTTCTTCGAATGACATAACTAGGCATACAGATAATAGTTTGTAACCATTAACTTTAAATTTAAGAGATAATCCGTTCAACAAAATCATTCATTTTTGTTGAGAAGTTAGGTACATTTTTTAAATCACATTTGGCAGTATGAGAGCGTCTATTAACTGTAGACAGCATCAGAAAGACAAACACATACCTGGATAGTTGGCAAGTTTGTTGATAAATCTTCCCATATTCTAGAAAAAGGTATCAAAGAAGTCACATCAGCCTCAAATCTAATGTAGTTTGCTACATCTCCATCGTTGTATCCGTCTCTCGCTGCCATAATTTTGAATGAGGCTGGAGACTGGTATTCTACAGAACGCGAGCAGGCATCTGCCACTGCGTCTGTTTCGCCATTTAGATCAACGTTTATACTGATTCTAGGCACACATACGCTATTTTCCTCTCTACAAACGATCGGTATGGTTGAAGTGAGTTCAAATGTTTCACCATCTTCACTTTCACCCACAAACACAATGGTATTGTTAGGTAATACCTTAACGACAAAACATACATTGAAAACATCATTGGAGAAATGTTTATAAAATGAATGCGTTATTAACATGTTAACTTTGAACGAGATATAACATTTACTTACGATTAGTCCGGCATACAGTAATTTGCTTTTTATTCCTTGTGAATATGCATCTTGGTCCTTGAATTTACTGCTGACTTCACATTCGATCTAAAATTTTATAATAAAGATATGTATAATTTACATTGGAGATTGATGCAACGATGGAAAAATTGATGATAAGTGTTGTTTACATGAAATATTTTGTTAATATCAATTAAATAAAACATAACTAGTTAAATTAGAGGACAGGTGCCGATGTCTGGTGGCGAAGAGGTGAGTTCTACATTAAAATATTAGTCATATACCCCTACTTATTATTGTATGATTCTCAAAAATGTATGTATCATAAAAATGAGAGGAACTACTTATAAACAATGATTAAGTATACGATTTTGTAATAGTTTTTTTGTAAATATTTTTAAACATATTTTAATACATCGTCAGTAGGCCTAAATTGTAAAAAATATTTTTAAAATGTTTAAATATTATTAATGTTAGTTGAATGTTTAAATATTATTTACTCTAGATCAGGTTTTGTATGCATTTTAAAAAATTTGATTTGCCCTAATGACAGGAAATTTCTTTTTTAACTATTGACACATGCTACAAGACATACATGCCTATCATCGTGTAAGCATGGAGGAGTTTAAAAACAAATTCCTCCATGGTGTAAGTATACTGGGTTTAGAAGACTTGATTAAATATATTAAGTACATAGAGGTTCTGTTACTTACTCAGTATTTTTTTGCAACAGTCAAGAGATTTGTTTTAATGTCAAGTAATTTAGATGTGAAAACTAAGACATTGTACCCTATTTTAAATTAGTAGGCCTAACTTACATTGGATCCTGCTTTCCGGTTCAGAATGCACTGATAAGGGAGCCCTGTACCACAGTCAAACTCATCGCTTATTTTAGACAGGTCAGGCCCATCAGTAACATATTCTCCGTCGATGAACCAACGCACAAAAAAGTCAATTTCTTCTTCACCAGACCACAACATACGGTAATCACAATAAGCTGATACTCCTGTTGGTTCTTTTACGAATGCTAATACTGGTTCCCCTTCGAGAACAGGGAAGTTACCTAATATATACAATATATAAAATTATTTAGAAACGTATGACCATAATCACCATTGGCATTAAATATAATCTGTACTGTTAATATGTATGATAATAATCTGATGTATTTTGATGCAACAGCTCATATGTTCGCTTTGTATTTGGTACTTGTACTATAGAGAAATCAAGAGAGAAGACAGAATCCTGTATTTTGTTGTGATATCTAAATGTTTATCTAGTCCACTCTTCTCCATGTCATTAGCATGAATACATTGAGAATCCTTATATGCATTTAAACCTACCGACTATATTCAGCGAAGTATCAACTACATGCACACAATATACTGTAATGGCACATGTCCCTAGACAACAAACTGTGGGCTGACTTCATTTAATCTTGCCATTGTTCAATAATGGGTGTCTAGAAAAGTAAGATTTATCTTGCTTTTCTAGATCTAGAAAAGTAAGATATCTTGCATCTTACTTTTCTAGATTTAGAAAAATAAGATAAATCTTGTGTCTTACTTTTCTAGATCTTACTTTTCTATACACCCTTTAATAACACCATGATTTATAGGATCTTGTATAGATTTTCTAATTGAAAACATTATTGATGATGTCGTCTTACGCAGCACCCTGTTCTTGTAAAATAAATATACACTACTTAAATTACATCAATGTCGGAAATAATAATTTGCCTGACTGGTCTCGTTAGGTAAAACTTTTTCCAAAAGGGAATTTTTTGTAGCAGTATTAAATACACAGATGTATTCTAAACAGTGGCGTATCTGAGGGAGCTGATGAGGACTTGATAGTAAAGTGAGGTTGCGCTAGGTCGCAAAATAAGGTGATATGAGATCATTTTTTTACTACTTGAGTGTGATTTGTTTGAGTTAACATTTTTTTTTTGGGGGGGGGGGTTGTGCACCCCCTAGATACGCCACTGGTTGTAAAGACTAGGTATCTAAATTGCTGATATATATTATGCAAAAAATATTGTATCTTCTGTCAAAAATGTCAAAGTTACTGATGACACAGAACACTTTCTGTAAAATGTTTTGGAGCAATTTCTAGTTCCAATTCTGTCTCTTATACACATCTAGATGTGTATAAGAGACAGTATATATATAAAACCACAACATATTTCAATGAGATCATTTAGGCTAGACCTGTTTCATTATCAAAAAATATTGACACAAACATGTTCCAGGAGTGCAACCGCAATCTTCAGTGTGGCACTGCTTACAAGCAAATTCAGTGTTTATAATAAGAGTGAACAAATAGTTGAAAAAAGAAATTTGCAGACTGCTCTCTTGCATGATGAAGGCTGGGGTCCTGGCTGAATTCTTTTTGAAATAGAGTGTCTTGATAGTCTGCTAGTTTAGTTAATAATATGTTGTTGAAAGGTCCACTGATTAATCTCAGATAAGATAGTATTATCATTTTTTCCTCCATGGTATAATACATACTCCAAGTATCGAAATGCACGCGATCGTGTCAGGATTCAATATCATTCCTGATGATGACATATTAATGTCGAAATACAGAATCCCGACACGATGGCGTGCATTTCGATACTTGGAATATGTATTATACTATCCTATGTTGTTGAGGTCATCAACATATGGAGTTCTGGCAGACCTAAATGTTCAGCAGTTTATATTTTCTTTGGAGGCCGAGGATGTAGAATTTGTTTGCGCTCTGAGCTATGTTGTTCCCATCAGTAAACGTTATTGTGGTAATGCTTTCATTTTAGACTTACTCCAGGTTCAGAGGCATTTAGTTTTAGTTGCAAAATCATAAATGCATTAAAAGTAAACATTCGCTGTTAGCTCTGGAAATAAGACTATAATAATTATAATTATATATGGGATTCTGAACCTCGTTGTCGAGGGTTCGAACCAGGCACTGACCTTTCTCGGCTAGCCATGCTTTCCCCATTGTTGACAGGTTGTGAATTGGCTCACGCTATGTTTCAATGCTAGTTGCGAGTATGTCATGGCTTATAATTAATATTTTGGCGACCTCTCATCAATATTGATTGTAATATCTGGCCTGACATACCAATAATTATAATTGTATTATTAATAATGATTATGATTCTGATTTTGATTACTGACTACTGATTACTGATCATGATCATAAAATTAGAGATATTCTGGTAAGCACAAATATCAGACTAATATTGCTATTACTGTCCAGCAGGCCTACCAGAGGTATGGAAACTCACCGGCGCATGGTGGAAAACCTGTTACCGAACTAGTTCCATTTGAACAGGGTAAAAGTGAATCTGAAATAAAATGTAATTGTTTAGTTATATTTTTACTAATTTAATTGTGCTATATTAAGTCTTGCTACACATTGACGTTTTAAATAGTTATTTATAGGTCCAGCAAATGCCAGCATATACAAATCCTAGCATATTCTTACTGCATTTCAATTTCACATTATCCACCTGTTGTGCCCATGACAAAGTATGGGATATTACCACACCAAGTAAATTAATATTCTTAACGTCCATGAGATTATGTTTATTGAGTGTATGAAGGAACAACAGGGTCTTGTTTTCTGGACAATGACAGCACTTGAAATTTATAAACATTAAGAGGAAGAAGCGCTGACCACCATGAGATTGTGTCAATGTCCCGTTGCAATGACATTGCATCTTCCTCTGTATTTATAGATTGAGCAATACATGTATCGTCCACATATTGATAAGGTTTTGCCTGTAAACGCATATGGAGATCTTTGATATATATATATATTAAACAGCGAGGGTCCAAGCACTGACCCCTGGGGCACTCCATTCAAGAAAACAATAAATATGCATAATTATTGACGAATGTCATTCTGAAAACTATATGTAAAAATTGTATATAAATCTATATTTAAATTTTCTTTTCTTAAAAACTGGTTATATCATTATTACCTACAAAGTACTGTTAGTGGAATGCAAAGTAAATAATTTGTCATTTTGTTAAATGATTAAATGTTCATTATTTGTTGGTGCTATATAATTTCATAATCAATCACTTACCTGTACAATAGCCCATGTTGGATCCAGGTGTATCAACAAGGTAGTGGACATAGTATCTTTCTTCATCTGATCCGCAAGCCTTTATGCAAAGCTCTAGTTCATATTTACAAGGCTCATCGGGTATATTTACACAACCTTTAACAACATTGGTTTTACCATCCATTTCAGGATATGTACCTATCATAATGAAATAAGAAGATTTATAAAATTAGTATAATTTTCTTTTTAAAAAAAATATCAAAGCTTAACTTGTGCTTTATTATAGTGGATATGTACAGTTTTGATATAATAAAGATATATAAATGAGGTCTTGCCAACATAAACAATGATACAGCAAGTCTACATAAAACATTGATATACCGAATATCTTCTCAAATAGAAGCCCAATGGGCTTATTCCACTGATCTCTACTATAGTAGAGATCAGTGGCTTAATCTCGAGGAAGAAGCCCATCCCAAATTGAAGCCCCTCTTTAGTTTGCAAACTAACCTCGAAAAGAAGCCCATCTCGAAAAGAACCCCTATCCAAAATTTGTAATACAAAATGCGACGCCAAGGGCTTCTATTCGAGGTTTTACGGTATTTCCAGTGTTGAGCTCTTGAACAACAAAAATACAATATTTAAATTCTTCACCTTGTTATTTATTGAAAAAAGGGAGATAGAAAAAGAGAACGCAAATGAAATAGATAAGGAAACTACAGTATAATGAAATAGTATTAACAAGATATATTTTCTATAAAAACATGCTGCACCATCTTTACCTTATTCAATTTGTTTATACAGCTAATTCCAAATTTACCCTATGCGTGAATTTTGTTATTACATGACATATAATTTAGCGTATTGATTGCCTAAATTCTTCCACTTGGATTTTCATTGCAATATTTCGGCATTAATATTGATTATTTTATTATTTCTATATTTAACATTATTTTTGTTCACTGTTGTTGACTGACCAGGGTGTGTGGTAAGTTAATTACGTTGATAACCTTCAGAGGCTTCATCATCGGCTGTTGTCGGTCCAGTGCTGGACAAATGTCTCAGGATGTCGATGCCATTTCAATCTTAATTCTCTCTTGCTGCGTTGCACCATTTCACTCTTCCCCAATAAATATTGATCTCATCTCTTAATCTTTTACGTTATTTTTTCTTGTTCGTTAAATGCTTGCACCTATGGCTGAAACATATCCTTAGCCACTTGACAGCCCGTCAACAATGTAATTTGGGGTATCTATACATGGCCGCCCGAGATTAGACACTGTTTCAATTTGGTTTGTACTCCTACAGACTACAAGTTCAACAACCAGAATGAAAACCACTGAGCCAAACCGCATTTTTACCATTATTGTTATTAATATTAACAATAATAATATTATTTTTAATATTATTTTATTTTTTTTGTATTCATCCCCCTCCACCACTAGCTTGGCCAGACTCTTCTACTAAGGCATACCCTCTTCGCAGCCACTATTTGGTTCCCGAGACTCTTTTTGGTAACTGCGCATGCTCGATAACGTCATTTACTCAATGCACATGCTCATTAGCTGTCTAGCATTTCCAAGCGCATGCTCACTGTGTTTTTATAGATAATTTACGGACGTTATTTGGTAACTGCGCATGCGCATTGCTTAGTACGGAATTCCCATTTCTTCGCTACCTACAATTTCTTAATCCCGCACCATCTCCTAGTTACGCCACTGAAGCTACCACTACCTACAGTTTCTTAATGACTGTTTCTTCTTGATCGTTACAGCCTAAAGGTGTGGTGCGAAAAGCAAAGACCAGTGAATAGCAATACAGAAACGGGAAAAAAAATATGAAGAAAAAAAGAGAAATAATAAGAGATAATAGAAAGAAATAAAAATTAAACTAACCATTTATCCACACTGGATACTGGGTTCCGCATTCAAATTCTGCTGGAGATGTTGTTGGCATGGTTATATCAGTGCGCTGTCCCTCTGTCATCAACTTGTACCAACCATCATTAAAGAAATAATCGGTTATTAAGACATCTCCTGACTGAGTTACGTACCGAATACTCCGATGCCAGTCAGTAAGCTCTAGTTCAGTATCACATGGTTCACCTTCAGTTTGAAGACAAGATGCTGAAAAAATATTAATTCTCGTAAATTATTTTAATATTGAGTTTCATTTGTGTTTACAACACACACGTACCCTTTCTCCAAGAGAATTTGATTTCATGTTTCGATCGAATGTGTCCATTCTTAGACATTTAATGAAGATAGCCTTATCTAATAGTAATTCTAGAATGGTCGAGACCAGGACATTCCGACTTTCAATTGACAAAGATTGAAAATGTTCATTATAGACACAATGTATACATAGATTATAGATTTTGGTTTAGTACGGTCAGGGCTTTAATCGATAATCACCTTGCCAGTGACCTTGAGTAAGGCACTATATGATTTGCTTCTCTCCACCCAGGAGTATAAATAGGTACGTGAGGTGCCTGCATGCGCCAATGGCAGCAACACGTAAGCATGTGGACGCAATGACGTGAAAAACAAAGCGCTTCGTAGCCTAAAGTAGTAGAGATGTTTTGGTAGTTAAGATGCTTTGCCTTCCAATCCAAAGGTCTTTGGTTCAAAACCTGTGACAGCACAGGATGATCTCCACTCCTTAATCCTTGTAATGAGACTTCGCTGATGAAGCATTACATCATGTCATTTTTTAACCATGGAACCCGCTGGAACGGCATAGGCTTAGCCAGCGAGCCATCCGGCCATCTTTTGGACGGCCAACAATTATTTACTGTAGGACGGCCACTTTTACAGAGACGGCTTGGACGGCTTGGCATAATCAGCTCGACCTATCCTAATTGGGCCTGGTTTACCTTTAGCAAATTCTTTATATTCTTCAAATCTATCGAATGTTACATAACTAAAGCTAAATCATATTTACGTTTGATAAAAACAACATTTATTGATTGAATGTACGTTGTTTTCTTACCAATATTCGGTGGAGATTCCCAAAGATGGGAGTGGCCTGTCCATCGGCTCAATGCCACGCCAACTGGCTTCCATTTTGGACGGCCTATTTTGTTTTTCTGGCTAAACCCCTGTGGAACGGTACCCTCTATATACTGCAGTGGTGGACCTTTCCTATCATTCGATTCTATTTCTACCCCTCCTACATCTTTGAACGGTTAATTAGATTTAACAACTGGGAGAAATAAGACGTAACAGCCTTTACACTTTTAATAAACAATCATATATACTAAAAAAAAAAAAAAGAAAAAAAAAAATGAATTATGGTATTTAAGCTCCAAGTTCTTTTTAACTGCTTTTTGAAGGTCCAAATTAAAATATTGTTTAATGTCTTCTTCACACACATCATATTTATGGGCTAAACATTTTACAGTAGTTGTTTTTCAGTGATAAAATAAAAATGAAATACGTTTTTTAACCGATTAGCGGACAAAAAACGTAGCTAAGAAAGTTGCTTTTGCCTTGCCTTCATGTTCAAATCTCGAAGCAAAGGCCATTGTGTAGCGGTCTCAACGTTTGTACGATATACTAAACTTTTCGTGTCGCGCGAGTTTGTTCTTGTCTAGTCTTTCCTTGATTGCTTGCGGTCAGAGGTATTTGAATGTTTGTAAATAAACTAATAATAAACTAAAATGTTCGTGTCGAGCGAGTCGTTCTTGTCTAGTCTTGTCTTGATTGCTTGTGGTCAGAGGCAGGTATTTAAACGTTTGTATGATACACTAAACATTTCGTGTCGAGAGAGTTGTTCCAGTTAAGTTTTTTCTTGATTGCTTGTCGTCGGATACTACTACTATATTTAAAACAAAGGGGAATTCTTTTGTCGTCTGAGGTTCTCCTTAACATTGTCAAATTTTACCTTTAGGAACAGTATTTTTATTATGGAACTGTTTTCTCCCTCTTCATTGTCTTATGTTCCCCTTGGCAACCCTTTCACCAGGATTTTTAAAGAATGGTGAAATTTCAGAAAATGTCCTCAAAAAGGGTGGTGCACAAAATTCTAAAGGGTGGATACAAACAATTGCTATTTTAGTACATAGCAAGTGACACGCTAAGTCTGTTTATTGACCTTGCATTTGCATTAATATTTTTTTGAAGCGTGGTTTCAATATTTTAAGCATGGCGTATAATTTGCCTTTTTTATATCTTTATTTAAATTATGTTGTTTCTGATAAAAGGTATTTTTATCTGCCATTAAAGATCCTAGTTAACCG